AACTGACTATTTTGTGCAAAAAAAGGATGCGTGAGCCAGGAGGTTTTCGAAACCAAAAGCTGGGGATGGGACGGGCAATAAAGGGGCCAACTAACCAGAGCCCATAGATGGCACTCGCTGGACAGCCGCCTGGTCGCTCTCAGTAGTTTCCTTTGCTACATGTCTCTCACTATTCTCCAGTTTTTTCTGTGTCCTTCAGAAGTCAGCACTGATGAGCCAGTGAGGCGAACAGAAAGCTATGCAGGAAGCGTTATAATTCAGGAACTGATAACTTGGACTGAAGAACTGGAAATTCTTTCATGTGCGCTGAATGTTCTCAAGATGCTCACCTAAGAGAACGTCCATGCGATCGCAGTGCAGCTCGATGTCGCCGCAGCCGTTTGACCGGAGGAACACGAACGGCAGGGTCAGCGGCATTCGATCGACGAGATCGGACAACTGGGGAGAAAGCTGAAAAGCGGAGATTGCAACTGGGAAAGCTCCACCACTCGAGCGCCTTCGACACTCACGCTTCTCAACTGGACGCGTTCGCTCAGATCGAGTCTTTTCAAGACTTCTTCCAGAATCGGCTCATCCAAGGTGACTGTCGACGGCAGCTGCGACTTCTTCCTCGTTACTGCTGTTCGTCCACAGTCGAGTAGTCTCTTCTTAGCTTGGCGCCAGAAGAATCGAGCACGGTTGGCTTTCATCTGGAAGCGAAAACTTTTTAATAGCTTAGCCTCAAGAAAATACGAAAGGCGATCAGATATGGTGGACAACAGAGATGAAGAGTGACAGCCAAAGATAATTATACCTCAGAAAACTCATACACAGTTGAAGGGTCGGTTTAGAAACGTCAAGGTTTCGAGATTTCATAGAGGAACCAATAGAAGTAAAGACTTATATACTATGATGACCAGGCACATTGGAGTGTCAGGCAGAGTAGGGATCAATTTCGAGAGCAATCAGCTTCTGAAGGGACAACCTCGAAAGATTTTTCCGCTAGAATCGCGTCCGTCTCAAATTGCGCTAGCTTCCTAACATATGATGAGGTATCTTGACAGCTCTCTTCTAGCGGCCATGATTCTTCCAGTACTGATCCCAGTTCTACCCACATGGGGTTTTGAGTAATTTACGGAGTAGCAAAAAGTCGCTTTGAAATAGAGAGTGAGATCTGTCTCATAAAGGAAAAAAGAATGGTGAACAAGGACAGCAATGGCCGCCACTGTAGTACCCCCCACCTACCAGGAACCCACCTCCTAAACCTGGTAATCTAGCAAAGCAGCCATCGTGGTGACCGCAAGTCGCGTGACCGGATGAGCGTAACTTGCTCAGGGGAGAACGTTCATGTCCACGAGTGCTGCACCGGACCAACCACGATGAGAAACATCAGTCCTCCCACAGCCGCGTCCTACTTCAATCCCGGGATGAAAGGCAAGTAAAACGCGGAAAAGAATTCAGCCAAGAGTAGGATGCCGATATCTCTTACATTCCTGAATCCTCGCTGCATCCCACCTACTGTTCAAGTATTCCTACCTACCTCTCTCATCTCTGAGTAGGAGGAATTCGGCAAATCTACTCGACAAAACTTAATAGCAGAAAACAGATCTCAAACAGCACTTCAAAAATAGCGCCCAAGCTGAAGAGATTCCAGACGAACGGGATGAACATAAGGGAGTGGCAATTTGAAAAACAAATTCATCAGTGCCCCCAAGTCCCTCAAAATCCATTTTGGGTTTATGACAGGAAGAGCTTAGTGAAGAATTGAATGAGGAGCCACATCGGTCCACCAGCGGGGGCCCGACAATTCGAGGAGATGCACCTATCGGTACTGGCACCAAGGCTTTTCCGTCGAGCAGCAACAAGGAACTACTGTAATTGCTCGCAGTGCCGCGTTCTTCACACCTTTTGTGTATTGACATCAAAGGCTGGAAAACTTGTACCCAATGAGCCGCTGTAATTGCGTCCGTCATATAGCTCATTCGCCCACCTCGTCAACCGCAGCAATTTACTCCGGCGGAGCTAGACCGGGACCCGCCGCTCCGCTACTAACGACATTTTCGCCGCGCAACAGCAGTGTACTCTGTCTGAACCTGGACTTACCATTAGAACATCAAAACTGGGCGCCCTGCCAGATCCTCTCTTTCTAGACCGCAGAGTGAATCCATTGATTTTCTCCATGCCTCAACGCCCTCGGATAACTATTACAACTCAAGATCCTCTTCAATGTATTGACATCATAAGGCACATCGCACCTTACCGGGAGCAGAGGATTTGTGGACAGTCGCAGGAACCGCACATCACCTTGAGTCCTGTCCCCACACTCGCCCTTAAAAGCACAATATCGCTGCGAATTCCGTATAATCTTACTGTAGCGCCAATACAAAATGTGCTATGGGAAACAATGGAAAAGCGGTATTAAAAGGCCCTCATAGAACCAAAATTGCTACGGTCAAGGAGAGCCAAAGGCCTGGTGGAGTGAGTGATCGCTATGCATTAGTGTCTTTTGTCCCGATTACTTACTAAGTAGTGCATGACAATCATCGAACGCCGGAGTGAACCCTGCGCTATCCCACAGTTCCGCTTGATTGCAGAAAATTAACGTCAAGGTTGTTGACATTTAAACCTCTCATTCATCAGACGGGAACCGTTCTGATGTCAGCAGCAAGTTCCCTTCGACAACTATCAGCTACTGCTCAGCACGTTGTGGTTGATCCAAGCATCTGGGGATGGGGTCTGTTTCCCTTTGCCTCGATCGACCGCAGTTTTGAAGAATCAAAAGTATTTCACCCAATTTTGGAGAGACACTGGTCCTCCTAGGAAAATGGCGAACCTAATCAACTTCAGGATCACCGAGGAAAGGTTCCACTGGTCCACCGCGGACGATAGGAACTGTAAAGAACGCAGTTTCACGAAGTTCGAACCCCTCTAATCGAACGCCTCCAACATACAAGTCTAGGCTTTTGACACTCAAGAATCCATGAGGTGATGGGTTACAGTCTACAAGAAATCACATGGGAAGGAACCGAGTCCCTAGGAGATGTCCCACAGGACTCTTCCAAAAGAGCTTGATTCCCAGTGATACAACTCTCGGAAACAACGAAAACGGAAACGCACATGCCGGAAAAGAGACCACCGCCATTCTCTCAGGTCGAGTGCGGGGTTTTTGTAATACGAGGTTGCGCAAGGATTCAAACTGCTCGCCCACATTGGCTCAAGGACAATAGCAATTTGTATTCCCACGAACTTGGCAACATCAGGGCGGGAACCTCATGTTAACCAGCACAACGATGATGAATGAGCAGACGGAAGGGACTGAGCACTCAGAGGGACAGACGGGAGAAGGCGGAAACCACACGGCGCTGGAAATAGTACGGTACGCGGTGACAAGACGTTTGAACGAGCACGTGGGCCGCAGCACCGTTTGGAAGAGGTGGAGCAAAGAACCTACCGAAACGGTATGAGCGAAAGCCGAACAGGAGCCTTTTTCTCCCACATCGCATCCGTGAGACGCCCATGGAGGGACAACGCACCAGGCAGAAGAGGAACCCACAACTCATGCGAACATGAACATGTTTCTAGGACAATGAGGCGCCAGTCTGTGGAGACAGACAGAGGGTTAAGCCCACATTGTCTGGAGCAGGAACCGAACCAAACTCGGCTGCTACCCACCGCTGATTGTTCAAAAGAGCCGCTCTTAACGATGGGAGAATGGCATGCGAACCAGATGTGAGACTCCATAGCCTCTGAGTGGAGGGCGCCTGTTAGTACTCTGCAGCTAATTTTTTGAACCATCAGACGGGGATAAAACAGGTGGCAGCGAAGAAAGGAGAAGCATGTGCGCTATCACGCACAAGGTTACATAGATAGGCGCTGGGTGCTGCAAAAATAAAGTACACAGGCTCAATATCTGAAGCTACCACACGTGCTTCATGGCCAGATGATCCAAGCACAACACTTCTGCGGGGCTCAAATGGTGAGAATGATCAATGAAATGAAATCGCCAAGCTGAAAACTAACAATACCATATGAACCACTCCAGCCTCTTACTGCCGGAAATCTCGAAGAGATCGAAGAGCTCCAACGTATTCGTAAGGGCGTTCGTTTCGAATGGCAGTCTCTTTGCATGAGACAGGACGGTGGTCCTTGGCGCACTCGGCGTGAGGACGGTATCGGCTAGGCAATTAGCAGCATTCGGGGCGAGCGGCCGCTAACCAACAAATCGTCGCCCTCGATTGATGGGGCTTGAGAATCGTCTGCGATGCCATCAGCCCTTCTCCCACAACAATGACAATTTGATGGTTAGTTGATGACAAATTCGAAAACGCCACCGCCACCCCCAAAGTTTGTCCTCGTCTCTTGCGGTCTGCAAACACACAGCATCTTTTTCGTTAGCCCATGTGTGTTTGATGAAGGCGAACGAGCAAGAGATCTGAGTTCAGAGGACGAGTAGCCACAGAAATCAAATGGAGATCAGTGAAAATGGCAAGGTACGCGAAGGATAATGAATGACATCATGGAAGAGCATGAAGGCCATAATGTTTATGGGGGTGCAAAACAAAAAAGCGCCGTCTATAAGACCACTCCGCGCTCCTCCCTTGTAAGTTCCATAAAACGGCATCTCCTGAAAAAGAACTTCAATGAAATCACTTTGAGCAAATTCTGGAAGTGAAAACCACGCTCTTCGATGCCCATTTCCTTGAAAAACACAATACATCCGTGTTTTGTGCGCGAGAGAAGTCACCTCGAAACAAATTGTCCTCGATCGCTACATCAAAATCAATCCTCCCAAAGGGTCCGCTACCTCAGCAAAAGCCTCAGGGGGAAGGGAGGCGGGCCGGGGGAGCGGCCCGTTTGGTGTTTGGCGGGGCCCGGGGGGGGGCGGGGGGGGTGCGGGGCCCGGGGGGCGGGGCGGGTGCGCCTTATGGAGTAGTGGGGGCCTTGGTAAGAGTGGATTCCTGACCATAAAATGTCAGAAACGCGCCTCGTGAAGTTTCGACTAATGCCACGGCCTGGTAATGATGAGGTGTAAAGCTAAGAGGATCATGAAGAGAGTACGAAAACTTTCATACGGACCGATATACCGAACATTACGCGCTCTTTCAGGCGCCACCTACCCATAACCGCTCGAAAAGTTGGATCGCACCGCCAGCAGATTTCAAAAAGCATTCTTTCGCTCTTGTTTTTGAGTGTTTTGCTCGTTCCGTTCTGATTGAAAACGACGGAAGGTTGTTGTCCCCATTCGGGCATTGTTTGCAGGAGAAGGGAAAGCGTGAAAACTTTGCACACAGGCGCCGGAGTTTTCACTTCTTTCAGCCACTGGACCAGCCTTCTGAGCTGCAGAAAGTTTCGCAATTCTTGGAGTGTGAGTTGGCTAAACAGGATTCTATTGGCATGCAACGCCACCGCAGCTGCTTCTGTTAGGATATTAATTGTGCTCCACTTGCATAGTCGGCGAGGCGAACGTGAAGTCGAGCCACCCTTGGCCAGTGTCAGGCTCAGCAATTTCAAATGTTCAGATCGATACTCTGCCGTTAGACGGCGACGTGTTTTTTCAGCTGCTGACCACCGGAAAAGGACTATTTACCACAACTCGGTTGAGTCAACCAGCGTAATAGAACTCGTCTCGGTGCTTTTGGGAAACCTAGGCCCCTTGGTCGTCATCTGATTTCTGCTTTTGCTGAGACAGAGAATAACTTGGGGTGCTCTCTAGGTGACCGAAGCGCAGCAGCTGTGTAGCCTTATCTGGAGGCTCAGGGAAAAGCGGGTCTGTCGTGCCTTTTGAGCTAGTCGCCATGAAGGGTCTCCAGATCAAAGGGGTTGCGGAGGGTTAAGGGATTGATAAACTCGTCTCAACTAGTACTTTTGTGGAGTACTTCGCTTTGCTGGCAATATGGAGTGTAAAACTGGTTTACGCATGCTAAGCACAGACCTTTAGCAGACCCCGTGCAAATGTTACCTCCAAGCGGTTCGCAGTACATTAACCCATTCGTGACAATGTCAGCCACCGGTGGCTGACAAAGCTCTCACTCGGGACAATGGTATTACTGTGGCTGCAGGGCTTGAAATGGAATTTGGAAAGTTTTCTTCCATGGAAAGAATCTTCATACCCTCGCTCATCTACGCCAGCCCTGGGCAGAGGAAATCTCCCTTCACTCGGATTTTATTGAAGAAAAATCTTCTGACGCTGCTGCTATTGCGCAATCGCTGCGCGGTCGGCGAGCGATGGGTGAAAACCTAGCCAGGAGACACATTCGCCCGGCGGTGATGTTAATATCGATGGCGAAGAGAAAAGATGTCCTAGAATTTAGGCACCATGCAAGTACCAAAGTTATGTTCGACCAGGACAAACCACGGTGGTGTCAAGTATCTCAGATGATGAGGAGAGGGCGGGAATGGAGGTGGTCGCTCGGAAGGGAGCGAGGTTTCACAGGCGATTATTTCAAAGGTGTTCAAGACAATTCGGATGTTTAGCAATATTTGAACCGTTTTCCAGCTATATAGCCTTTTGCATATTAAGGAGTTGCTGAGGGTACACGGTGGGATGTTGGGGCGCGGAGAGGAGGACAGTAACGGCTGTCGACGGGACGTGGGAACTTGGGAATTGCAGAGTCGAGGGAAAGCACCATACAGAGAAGGAGGACTCTCAGTTGAGAAAGAGGAGGGGAGCGCGTCGCTCGGGATCAAATTATCCCTGAACACCATGACCCACTCCGGGATAATCGCAAAAGAGACGAAGGAGGAATGTGGCAATAGAGGCTGGAAATTATAAGTTTGGCTCCTCTATCGATGATTGAGGATCTTCTGAGAAGCAGCTTCTTTCTGTCTCGCCCAGGCAGGGAGAACCACTTGCAACAGAATTGTACTATCGTTAAACGACAAAATAAGTGGTAACGACTACAAACCTAAGTTGATAAACAGCAGGTCGTGAGGATGGCAAAGGTTGAGGGACCGCAAGCTCCGCGCTCTCGCGGGCGATGGGCCGGTACGGTCGGTCTACCCGACGCAGGGGCCTTCCGCTGCGGGACACCGCAAGTATAATTCTAGCTTCTATAAGAAACCCCAACTCCTATCATTGAATAAACCTTCATGAAAAACATGCATAGTCCTCCAAAATTGAAACTAATGAATGTAGCGGGTCCCACGACCAAATAAGGTGGATCATTTTAATGCCATTCCGCTCGTTCACAAAACGGTGCTCCGCCGCTAGCACTTACAAAGGACGGATGGGGAGTCTCATAAGTCTTTTTAGGCAGATGAAACTCGCAGCATAACGGCGGGGGGGCAGAGGGATGGAAATGTCGAGTAGCAGAAGGGAAATGATGGGCTATCAAGGAGATCATTGACCAAATCGGAACAGCAGTGCTCAGAAAAAGAGCAACTTCAGGAAATTGATTCATTTCCTCGTATGATTCTTCAAGAAGAACAAGTGTGTGGAAGAACCACAGACGAAGTCGCACAGTCGACAGCGCGAGTCCACACGCGACAATTGGGAATAACTTATTGAACTTCAAGTGAGTAACTGACTCTAAACTATGCAAACACACACTAAACAGATAATATCCACAAACATGACACACCTTTGTCTCTTCCCAAACACGGGATATAATGACGCAGTTCTTCATCACATAATACCACGCTGTTCACAAGCATTGTTGCCAACACCCAGAATGTGCACTGATATTTGAGGTCAATTGTTGCACCATCAGGACAAACATTAAGATGTAAACTGGCGCTTAGAGCGCCATCAAACGTGGCCTCGTGAATTAACGAGGTTAGTTCGCACTAACGGGGAGCGCGAGCAAGTCCAACAGTCATTCAACGTTCAAGGATGTACTGCGATTAAATCGTCCGACAATACTAAGCAAAGAACAAAAACCTCACGGTAATGTGCACGAGCGGCAATGGGCAAAATCCCTACAATGCTTACCGGAAGATGTTCAGGAACTCAATGGAGCCGAGACTCAGTGGGTGATCGTGAGACGGCTCAAGAGAGAATAATGAGGTTACCAGCAGTCATCGGCTTGCCAACGACGTTGTGAGGCGACTGCTCCTGTGCAGATTGTGAGCGTGATATGCATGACACCCGAGGACTCACAGTAAAAAGATCTGAGGCCTCAGAATTAGCCCGTATAACCACAAACCACACAGAAATTAGCACAGCATACTAGATAACAAGCGGCTACCTTCTGTCATATATCGCTTCACTACCGTATACCAACTACTTCCCATGAAAAATCAAAATAGTAGTAGTTTGAGCATTCAAGCGTGGACATAGGAAAGATCAGAGATTTCAAAAACTGCTGATTCCACTCACACGTTGAAAAATCGCACTCCATATCAAATGTTGACTCTGGAAGACTATCGACTCTAGAAGAAGAATGGCTCACATTGGGATGACAGCCTCCACAACAGATAGGATTATCCAAGGAAATCCTGAAGGTCGTGTTACACCTCCACTCCTGCTATTCTAATCCTCTTTCCGTAATCTCACAGAAACATAAATAACGCCAGTCGAATGTAACGAGAAGGTAATTTAAACGAGCAGCTCGTATTGCGGTACTCTCAGCTAATCCAATATCACTTTATTTTCACTAGAAGTCAGCCAACAACAGTAATATGCTGAACGGAATACAAAACCATCTGCACCTAAATAGTCGTTTTCTAGTAATTGCAACTTTTGCTGCTATTCTCTTCTTCGATATATTTGTTCGATCCGATTATAAATACATTCACAAAAACATCAGATCTGTCGGCTTGCAAAAAACTAGTCGCATTTTCGCTTCTTCAAAGGCAAAATGAAACGATAAACCAAGACAGTGGAATGGTAAAACGCAAATATTGAAAAAGAAAACATTACACATAAGAATAAATATATGTCTATGTTATAGTACTGAAAATTATTAAGATGACCAATGTCAAGCTTCAAGTGGTTTAGCGGAGGTTCCGAACCGGATATCCGTGCAAATCTCTTGATTTTTCTTCGCATCTCCTCTGGACTTCCCTTCAGAAGTCGCGCTGCTTGTCGAACTCGCTGCGTGTACGCGCTTAATACATGCATCGATAAGATTTATGGGAAAAAAACTGAAGCAGCAAAACCAGAAAGATTTCAATGATGAAAGTCGGGAATCATTGGAGAGTTGAGCGAACATTATTTCCCACAAACGCTAAAAGGTATGAGGGAACAGAAAATAGAGCCAACCTTTCTCCATGAGTTCCAAGTACGGTGTTGATAGCCTTGACGATGCCGCCTTTTGAAAGAGACCGCTTATCTAACGTGACCGCGAATCCGCGTTCTGTCGCTACTGCTGCATTC